CACCCTTATTTAATTCATCGTCTATTCTATGTACAATTACAAGAAAGTCAATGGAAATATTATTATGATATTGGTATACAAGGAAATATTTGGTCAGGACGTGTATAAAAAAATGAGCTGCTATGAATAGTATGAATTATACTTATGATCGATCAAAAACATTAATTGTACAACGTCTACAAACTATTCAACGACAACCTCAACAAGCATCACAAGCATTACAAGATTTCGGTAATCAGCCATTACCTCAATGTCTATCTGGAATGAATCCTCCATTAGATTTCACAACATTATCAGCAATGGTTACAGCTGTTGTACGTAAAGGTCAATATAAATTAAAACAAAGATTTGAATATAACAAAAAAATGTTAAAATTAGTCTCAACAGATCATCTTTTCGTAAAAAAATGTTTACGACTTTAAACCAAATAAACAACAAATTCGTTCAATTCATAATATATGGAAAGCCATTCAAAATAGAAAAAAAATGGAAGAACAAATTGAAATATTAAAACATCGTATCCATTCGAATTTTTTACCACCAGCATTCAATCCTCTTGGTTATTCACTTGATAGAATTGAGAAAATGCTTAACGGATCAAAACAATCTTCTAGTAATGATAATGATAATAAGCAACAAACAATATTAGCTCTCATCGCTTAAGGGGACCCCCCCCCCCTTTCCCGACTCAAAATTTTCACATTTTTCATTTTTCATTTTTTGTGATTAGTATATAGATTTAAATGCCCTCTATCCATTGAGTACACTTTGAGAACTGAAAAACCACATCTTATATATAAAAAATTCGAAAAAAATCACAAAATATGCTGAAAAAACCAAAAAACACAAATTTCTTTGCGTTTTTCTCAAGATCAGTTTTTTCAGCAAAAAAAAGAAGTTTTCCCCCTTTTTCTCCGCCATTTCAAGTCCGATCGGGCTGAAAATTGTTTTGGTGAGACTTCAAGTGATTTGGGTTGGGGGTTTTTTTTTTTTGGATACCTTCTACCATTCAAGTTTGGCAGGCTTCGCAAAATTTTTAGGATCCAAAAAACCTAGAGATTTTGCAAAGTGCTCAGTATTTTGGTTCTCCAGCCTGAAGTATTTGGAATTTTTGAAAAAAAAAAAAACGCCCACCCCGATTGGGTCCGTCTACCCACAGTAAAAATTTCAGCTCAAACGGATGAAATCTGTGGATTTGCGGGGGGGGGGGGAACTTTTTGCAAGTTTTTGACCTTGGGGTCTCTGGAAATCCATGAAGATGACGTCTGGCAAATTTGTATCTATGACAACTTTTGCTCTACTACTCGAGGTCTATCTACCCTGCAAGTTTCAGGAATTTTCGTTCGGCCGTTTCTTAAAAACGCCGGAAAGGGGGGGGGGTCCCCTTAAAGAAAATTGGTCAATTTAAATAAGATATGCTTGAATTAAGTA